ACATTAGCAGTTGGCACGGTAAGTCTCTAAGATGTGTAGGATTAATCCGCCTGGCAGGATGGAGTACCGCGCTCCTGAGCAAGCGCTGTGCTGCGCCTTTCCCAGCAGTTACTATATAAGGCTATAAGGCTGCAACATAGCCACGCCTGCGCCCACAAATGGACGACCGTACCTGATGCTCGTATCACTTCATTTGCGAAGTAAAATATGAAGCGGAGGGATTGATATGAAGCGGCCGCGGTGCTGCATGGAAATGAGAGTACGCACATGCAGCCGCATTTAGAGTAGCGGTGATTGGCAAGATGCCTACGCGAAACCTTCGCCATTTTCCCCACTATGTAGTGCCTGCGTTTTTAACCAGTAACAAATTGTCGTGCCATATGCCTTTAAAGGCAGCTGGCAGATAATTCCCCCGGACACTAGGCATCTTTACTCGCTGAGCTTAGCGGTTTCCCCGAGTAAAGCGTGCACTTATTAAGGGGCCCATGCATAGCCACGAGCTTACGTCCCAAACGCTATTCCATGCGTCGCCTGCCCACAAATGGAACGACCGCAGTTTCATTCCTGACGCTCGTATTCTTACCATTTGCTAGCAATTATGTAAGCGAAGGGATTGGTATGAAGGGCGGCCGTGAATGACATGTATGGGTTACAAATATGGCAGCAGTATCTCGCGTAAGCGGTATTTGGTAAAGATCCTACGGAGAAACTACGTACGAAATGGTTTCAAGCTCACTGGGATCGGAGCTTTTTCTTTCGCAAGATTTTGACCGTTTCACTCCGTTCTTTCGCCATTTCCCCACTATACAGCGCCCTACTAGCATTTTGGGCTAAGTAGGAAACCATCGTGCCAACTGCCTTTGAAGCAAATGTTTGCTCACCTAACTCAGCAGAATAGGCCATCTTGCGCTTGAACATAATCTCTTCTGTATATCACCCAAGAAGCTTTGATAGTCGTTTGACAATCGGGTGTCTGAATGAGTGGCCTCAGTCTCGATTTTACTGAGAAAAAGCGTACTTTGCTAGATATTTTTTGCTGGGTGATATGTAGGGATGACACATAATACTTAGTACTTCTGAATACATGCGCCAAGCAGAGCTGTTCAAGATATTACACTGGCACAACTAAGCCTTGTATGGTGTGTCGAATGCAAGATTGCAGAGGAGTTCTGATGATGTCATATGTAGATGGAAGCTCTGTAGAAGTAAATTTAGAAGACGTTGTTAGACGGAACGAAGTTCCGAACTGCAAGGTACTCATCCATCGTACGTGATGTTTTTTCACAACTTCCTACTCAGAGCAAACGAAAAAAACTATATTCCAGGGTTTATAAGAACGGGCGATGCGATGGATTAGATTGTGGTGACGACGTTGCAGTCTTCCTTTCAAATATTATCGAGGAACCTGGTAAACACATTACATAATGTTAATAGTTACGTTGAAAGAATCAAAATCATGGCCACTCTTTCTTTGGATACTTTGTATGCAAGACAATTCCCGCTGGTTAAATGAGCTAAATTGGAGTAGTCATCAAGGATTTCTAGTGTTAGGCTTGGCCGCACCCAGGCAGCTAAGGTGGAAAGTGCTTTCAATGCCCCTAGGAGGACGGTCACGCCCACTCTAGAGTGCCGGCTTACTTTCCTCTGCTATGAAAAGAATGATGGCATTGTTTGCGCTGGTCGAAAGGGACCCTGACAGTTTACTTGTCGAGTGACTCCTTTCCGGGCTGCAAAGGGTGGGGCAAAATTATTGGTGCACCAATATTTACGGTGGCATTTCAGAATCACCTTTCTGAAATCAATTCTGTACACGATATTACCAGCTTCAAAATGGTCGCCTTTACTTTCCATCCAAATGTTTGGAGGATTATGAACACACACTACGCAAGTACTGATGAGGAAGTATGCGTCACGATCGCAGGAGTGCCATATGAAGAGAGTCCAGCTTGATCATCCTATAGATGGCCTTTCGGGAAATCCATCCAGCGAAGATTTGGAGAAGTGGAGGTTCATTCGCTGTATATGATGAAGTCAGCGAGCCTGTCGGTGCACCATTCTTCGGCCACCCTCAATATGTACCCTCCATATCCCTAAGACGGGAAGGGCGTGGCTAATTGCTTAATTTGAACGTGGCGTAGGACGCGATTTTCGCTTGGGAAATTCCACTTGAAACAACTGTTATCCTCTCTTATGATGCCCATAGACAGGACTACAGTTGTTCCAAAACGGAATGCCTCAGCAAAACGGCAGGTGCTGCCAAGAAGCACGCAGCCACGCTCACTCCATGCCCAGGGTATGGAGTATATGTTGAACAGTGTTCTGACGGGTACTTAGGCGACGAGGGGGGGGCTTTTGCTACTTCCCTCGACGTGTCGACCCATCTAGGGAGCCTTTTATTGAGTTGACAGGTTTGGCCATGGCTCGAAGAGCTTGCTACGTTTTCCAAGAATTAACAAGTTTCACCAGAGTGAGACTTCAAACCGGAACTAGTGAAGCAGCAAAAGTGCAAAATGCTCCTGTCGCCGAACTGCGCCGTGTTTTGATTAGTCTTGGGATCGTTCTCAAGAATATTATTTTGTCCCTGTCATAAACTGATTTTAACATCGGCTTGCACAAAAACAAGCGGGCTTCTTCACATTGAGGTGACTCTACCCCGACCCATTATGGACTGGGATCCTTTTCTTCTTTCTTGGACAGTGACCCCTCATTTTGGGGATTTAGCTCCGAAATTGAGGGTCATCGGAAGAACGTTCACGGCAGATATCATTGTATAATCAAAAGATGCCTCTAGCGCGATCGTTTGCAATACTTCTAGAACTGCGTGAAGACCTGTTGACTGGTAATATCTTCAACATATTGTCACTTTTAGTCGCAACACCTTTCTCCAAGAAAAGATTCGGAAGAAAGTGGACATGGAGAAGCCCAAACGGAACCACCCGTAGTGAGATAGACCACGTATTATGTCCTAACTTAACATTTGTCCGCGATGTGACAACGCTTTCTGGATGCAATGTTGTGCAATGTCACCGCATGGTACTAGCAACTTTGACGATGTCCAATGAAGCCTGCTCATTTCCACCAAAAAGCAAGACCCTTGCGCCAGTAGAAATTACAAGCTGCAATGGCAATGCAGCCCCGTCCAACAACTGGTTTCCGGATTTCAAGCTTCTTACAGGTGGCTAAAAATTGCATGATCTTGGCTCAAACTTCTCAGCAGCGAGTGGAACGAGTCTCTGCTCGCACAAGGGCACTGATGGCAGAGCAAAAGGAAGCAGAAATTTGGATTGGCAACTGTGCACGAACCCCCTTCTATACACGTTGCTATGCAAACAAGTTCGGTGGTCACTCACAGAAGATTTGCGCAAGCAAAACGACCGAATTATGGAAAACCATAGAAAAATTGAGGATAAGGCATGCTAGATACGAATTGGCCGCCGATGCGTTCTACAACAAGCTCTATCGATCCTCTCAAGGACCTTTTGTCTACTCCGTACTGGCCCGTTGGGACGGCAGGTTACGCATGCCGCGGCACGAAATCTCATCCAGTGTAACGAAATATCTGGTCCCCATGGCCAGAAAGCTTCGTTAAGGCTAAAACCATCCTTCTCTATAAAGAGGTGACCTTTCAACATCGGCAATTATAGAAACAATCTCCTTGCTGTCAACGCTCTTCAAAGTTCTCACCCGTGCACTGGCCCATCGTGTGGAAGAAGTAGTAATGAGCTCCATCTCCCATTGAGCAAGCTGGATTCAGGCGCGGCTTTCTCCACCCGTGACCATATTATGTCCGTCAATCTGTTGATGGAAAAATGCCGTGAATGGAAGAAACCACTTCATATGGTGTTCGTTGATTATCAAAAAGCCTTCGACACTATCGAATTCAATGCTATCTGGAGAGCATTAGCTAAATATGGAGTAGACGACTGCACGATTCGGATGATAAAGCAGCTCTATGCTGCTGGCCGATCATTTCTGGTTCTCAGTGCTACAGAGAAGATGATCGACATACAACGAGGAGTTCGACAAGGTGATTCACTATCTCCATTGCTGTTCATTCTAACACTCCATTCCTGCCTTGACGACATTGACTGGGAGGATCAAGGATACCCCATTGGTCAACATCGTCTCAATTACCTCGCATATGCTGATGATCTTTTTCTGTGCTCTCCAACTATTGATGGATTACAAATAATGCTCAATAAACTCACTAAAGCGACTACTGAGGGGACTAGAACTAAGAGCAAGTAAGATCAAATGGATGTCAACCAGTTCCAAGGTCATCAACTCACAGCAAACGAGATGGAGATAGCACTAGTAACATCATTCGTCTACCTGGGCCAAGTCATCTGTTTTCCTCAGGAACGCGGTCAGGAAATTAGCTCTAGGATCAGCTCGGCTTGGAACATCCACAGAAGAGTCAGAACTCTACTAAGAAGCAAGATGACGCCGATGCAGATCAAACGACGTTTCTTCCATATCTGCGTGATGCCTGCACTACTGTACGGATGCGAGACATGGGCACTAACGAAGGCGCATGAAGAACGTCTGCGGAAAACTCAGCGAAGAATGGAGCGACAGATGCTCGGTCTTCGACTTAGCAACAAGGTATCGAATACAGCTATAAGAGAAAGGACACAGCTGAAAGACGTCGTTGCTGAAGCCAGAAAACGCAAATGGATATACGCGAATAACTTGATGATGAAGGATCAAAGGCGATGGGAAGTTCGATTGTTGAACTGGAAGCCCTCCGGAAATAGAGCAGTTGGAAGGCCACGAATGCGATGGGAAGACGATCTCAAGATGTTTGCTGGAACGGACTGGAAGAACATCGCGACTACACCCGAATGGTTTCAGAGCATGGCCCGTTTCTCTGTTTATTTCAGATGAGTAGCGAAAATAAATAAATAATAAATAAATAAATATTGTCACTCTTCCCCTGAAAATGCTCTCAGTTGGGACAGCTGTTGGGAATAATCAGTAATTCCGCCTACATAACATTGATGGTTTCAGACACACGATTGCTAATGCATGTGAAAGGGCTTGTCACTGATCGGGTTTGTGTGACAGCTCCTACATCGTGGTTCGAAGACGCTCCATCAAGGAAAGACAAAGTAAGTAAGCGGATGTTTCCCAGAACAACACGCTTTCTCATATTGGAAGCTTCATTCCACGCGCGTTCTTCTGCCCTTTTGGCGCTCGATTGGCGTCATAAGGAAACATCTCGCGACACGGCTAGCTTGAAGGCAGTTGGCACGATGGTTTCCTACTTAGCCTAAAATGCTAGTAGGGCGCTATATAGTGGGGAAATGGCGAAAGAACGGAGTGAAACGGTCAAAATCCTGCGAAGAAAAAGCCTCCGTTCTCAGTGACTTGAAAATCATTGGACGAGTTTCCCGTAGGCATCTTGTCACCGCTACCAAGATACGGCTGCATATGTGTACCCATATATGCATGCAGCAGCATCACGGCCGCTTCATACCAATCCCTTCGCTTCATAATTTGCTTAGCAAATGAATGAATACGAGCGTCAGGAACGGTCGTCCATTTGTGGGCGGGCGGGCGTTTGGGACGGAATGTTGTAGCTTGATATAGGGCACCTCCCTGCAGAGCCTGTTCAGGGTCGCGGAATTCCGTCCTGCCAGGCGTATTGATCCTAGTCGTCTTGGAGGATTTATCGTGCCAACTGCCTTGAAAGTAAAATACTTACCTAGCCTTTGCGCCTACCGTAACCGAAAAGATTAGGATTTGGTTGAAGAAAATTATAGCGTCAATTGCTCTAAAGTATGCGTTGTCTTTATCACAGAATTAACACTCGAAGATGATGATATGCACGCCTAATTGCGCGACTACAACTCTGTAATCATTAACCTCGAAATGCGGCGCAGGCATGGGACTCTAATTGCCGGAGAAGGGCTGAATAATGCAATGGATTACCAGTGACATATTTTCAAAGTGTTGCTAGCATGACCCTGAAAAAGGGTCGTTCTCGGTGTAACTGGTTACAACTCAGATCGCTTACATGGATGACGCGCCTTACATGATCAACACCCAAGCATCGCTCGATGACCTCAACGAGAAATTAGAAGAGAAGGTTTGCCCTGATATTCATTCTTCATTCCTATGGGAATCGGCATCAATATTATCTCACTCACGGCTTTCTTAGCCCCTCTATCAGTAGGTGCGCAACGACTCCCGCTGTTTAGATACCGATAGAGCAATTTCGCCCTGTTATTGTGGTGGATAAGTGTGACGCCTTCGACGAAGACAAGTGGCTTAGTATTCACATAGGAGATGTGGCGTTACAATGCACGAAACCATGTGAACGGTGGGCACATTCGAAAATCTGTAATTTATCTGGAATTCTCGTGAAACTCACGAAAGCTCATTGATGAACTGGCTAACTCACTAACATGAGCAGCCCATGGTTTTTTTTAATGTACAGAAATTGACGGCTAGCCACAAAAGTGCTATATATATGATTCCTCAACAATTCTCAATTTCTTCTTTTTATTCTTTTTTCTAGATTTAGTCTCGCGTCTTTGATAGGTCTGCTATGTTAGACGTCGACTTTTTTGATCCACTGCATCTTCTGCAGCGGCATTCACATCAATGAGGTCCCTCTCGATGACGACCCTCCCGCTCCTCTTTGGGCATCCTCGTGGTTGCTTGCCCTGTACTTGGACTAGCGCGTTCCTTATCGGGTGTCCTCAGACCTCTTCAGTACATGCCCATACCACCAAAATCGCTGCTCTCGTGCTTTCAGCTGGACGAGATTAGCAGTTGTGTAAGCGCCTTGAAGTCCTCGTTCCTGACTCTGTCTCATTGAGTCCAACCATAGGCCAATCTCAGCATCCTCGTTTCAGCCAAATGGGGCTGCCCTTTACGGTTCTTGCATGAGGGCCAGCAATCCTGCCGTAGAGCATTGCGCGCCTTACTAAAGGCCTGTGGAGTTCCTACGTTTCATGCAGGCTACATTTATTTGGGCCTTTACCGCTGGTCCAAGCTATTAGCAGCGAGATTGCTTCTCTCGACATCTCTTCAGCACCCGTCTGCACCAGTCATGGGCTTTGCATGAGGCCAACTGCTCCTGCGAGATAGGGACAAGTGCCCGTTGCCTTGTGCTTTGATGGGACAAGGTTTAACGCAGTACATCTTGAGAATTATCGACGAGTCAAATGATCCCCCTCACTCCTCCCCCCGCAAGAGGGGACTCTGTACTCTTCCAACTCCTTCATTTTTTAACCTTGTAAACAAAGATATATGCAGGCATGAACGTGTTCACAAACTTTTCAAATAGAATTCATAAAAGCTAAATTCAAATGCGCTGCGAAATCTTGAAAAATACAAATACTAAAATTACTAAAAATTGAAAGAATGTTGCCCGGAATCTGCAGGAAGGTGAAATCCTGTAAGATTAAAGGCAGACGAAAACTTATTTCGCTAACACAGTATGCGTTTTGCAGTTCTCTTATAAGTACATAATTGTTGATTTTTCAATTAAAAAAAGGGTGAGCAAAGCAGATGATGGCGACCCCAAAGGTGGCACAATTGCGAGGCTGCAGACGGAGTTACTTCTCCAAAATGAGAGAGTTACAAGAATGAATTGAAAATTGAGTTAGAAATCGTCAATCATGTGACGGCCTTTACAGTTCTGTTGCGAGCATTGTGTTGGAGCGGGTTTTCCGAAGCAGTACAGCAGCAGGTGTGCCTTTTTTCAAAGACTTCCTTGGAGATGAATTGTGTATTCACCTCCGTGGATTCTGGTTTTCGCCATATGCGAGACGAATGGGTCCGTTGCTGTTACAGCGTGCTATTTTCGCCACTAGAAGAGCATGGAAAAGGCTAGAGGTAGTGGTTCGCGGATGGTAATTCTGGGCGCAGCCCACGCTGCTGCATGACCACCCGACGCGCCTAACCATGACAAAGCAAGCTGCTTGTATGCGCCTCTCACGTCTGGTTAATTTCTACCTCGAATTTCTTTTCAACGCAGTGTGGCTGCGGGATTCTGGTATCCCGCAGCCACAATGCGTGTTGGCTGCGGGATACTGAAATTTACGCAAGAGCTGTATCCTAAATACACTGCGGGCCGGGTTTGGACTATGCCCTCGTATCACTGCCCATTAGCGTTATTCCCGTGTACTCTCAAATGGCGAAGGTGTTACACTTGTCTTACCTATTCTTCTCACACATGACAAGGACCGTCTCTGGAGGTAATTATTCAGTTTGCCTCTAGATGTTGATCCTGAGATTGAGAAGAGAACAGTTGTAATGACCTCACCCCCAAAAGATTATCAGAATCCCTGTAGACTTGTTGGGGATTTTGACATCAATTTTTTTTCTTGTTTCCGATAGTTCCAAGTTTGTGTTCGTCGTGGCAAACTCCAAGTTCACAGAAACGCAGGGTGTGAGGACCATTTTCGTGTCAGCTTCGAACCCCACGATTCAATTTGTGGTTTCTTCACTGCTGCTTTTGATATGCTATATATTATAAACGTTATATTATACATATTTGCCATTGATCAGACGGGAATAGCAACAATTTTTCATTTCCACCCAGTGTTGACGATGCTAGTAACTTCTTGTTCTTAATCCTGGCATTAATCGCATGCCAATACGGGAGTCGTTCTCACCATATGAATGAAACCCACTGTTAAAAAAATAAATGAAACGTCAAGTTTCTGTATATTGTGTAGCAGCCCCTTCGAAGCAAGAACAACAGCACGTCAGACGTTTTTTTGTTACACTTTAGATACATGTAAAAACTTTATAGATGTGTTACGACCACGATCAGCTCAACTAAAGGAATCAGACATCCATCGGTGGAACCCCTCAAAACGCTCAGAAAGTGAGACCCACTGACTGCTAGTTAGCTATTTCTATCACATGTGCTATTCAGATACCGACTAGCTCCTGAAGGCCCTATGAGGGAGTTGTTTAAGGATTCACCACTCTTCGGAGTCGATGCGGTAGTCACTACAACGGTATGTTGCTGGTTTCAAGGCGTTTGATTTAGCGAGAATACCTTTTTTCCCTAGTTTGCTCATATTCCAGGGTTACATCCACGTTGGACAAACGGTCTGCGTCCGTTATAAAACAGCCTATCGAAAGACAAGTCCGTACTATTCGCCGTAGCCCCCTTCATAGTAAATGTAGTAGTGCATTGTACTAGTATTTTCGCAACAAGTTAATTTTTCTCTCGTGGTATTTTTGGATGAGATGATATGTAATTTGATTAGAGATGATATGTAATTTGATCCGATTTTGCTTTGAAAAGGGAACGATTGTATGGTAATTGTATTGTAGTGATTGTATTGTATAATAAGGATTAGCATAACTGAAATAACCATCACATCACCATATAGACTGCTGACGTTTTCAGGAGGGAAAAACCAGAATGCATTATATTTGCATGTGCATCCAATGCTACTGAATGTTAAGTGAATTCTTGAAAATGAGCCTCAAGGGGAATTTTAAGGAGCGAAAATAAGTGGGACAAGCTGAAGTGGGGCGCTCTCAGATACTTTGTCTGACTTTTTCGAACTGCACATGGGGATTTTTGCTCGCTGAAATTGCGTACGGCTGGAAAAACTATTCCAAAAAATCGATTTGGTTGATCAAAATTAGTGTCGGGATAGAGTGGTAAGGAATACTGCGATATGTTCGCCGCTACCCTTCGATACACATCTAGACAAGCCTGATCCCTCTTCCGATGTTAATTTGGACGAACACATGACCGACGACAACGTCACTGCGTACATTGAAGAATATCCCATACTGTGGCGGTCAGCAGAACGGTGCGAAACCTGACTGCATCAGGAAAAAAAACCTAGTCGATCGAGCTCAAAGCAGTGAATACGCACGGTCCAGCAGGTGATTTTATGGAATAAACTTCAAGAAAATAAACCATCTGAACTTTACAAATAAAACGAAAAAATGTGAGTAACAATATTCACATAAAATTCGCATAAACAACCATAAATAAATCGTTAATCAACCAAGCATAACTCAATAATACGCAGTTTTCACCTATTAGCAATACTTCGATCAACAGCCACTTTTAGTTGATAAAACGTTGTAAACGATGTGAAATATGACCACAACTGAGTCTTTCCTCTAGTGTGCAATGAAAGAGCTATAGTAGTTTCATAAAAGATGGACCCATTTGCAATCAGGCAATGGTCGGATGATGGACCGTCGGACCCGCGGTAAAGTTAACTAATCGATCCCCTCGGTGTCTCCTGTTCTGCATTATCTGGATTCCCTTCGTTTTTCTTTTTCTCGTTGCCTGCAAATGAACGCAACATGTAACACAAAAATTTATCACGTGAAGGCATCACTCATCGAATTATTCCAAGACTCAGTTATTGAAGAGTTCTTCCCGTGGTTTTGAAGTATACATTCTTCTTTCAGGGCTACGAGGCACTTCAACAAAATTGGGTATTTCAGTCAAATAAGGCGTGGATGTGTGTTACACCAATTGCACCTGACAAATGGTGACGAAGGGCTCAGATATTTTTTTGACAAAGGACATCACCTTATCTTCGTTGAACTCGTATCTATTCGGATTCGAAGCAGGTCCATTATGGTCGCCAATATATCTCAATGCAATCCGGACGTACGCTAGGCATGGGTTGCCGATACGTCCGGTTGATGAAGAATAATCAGATAGAACCTGTTCAAACACTGTTATGAAAAAGACCTTGCTTTGAACGTCGCCTACTGAGAAGCCAGGGTTTATTGCATCACATGATCAAAAATGAGCTGAATATACTTCTGAAATGAGAAGAAGAAGTACACATCCAGTGGCTGACGGGTAGTTGCAATTGCTGGAATGGTCATCAACTGAAGCTCATTGCCCGCTGCTGCATTTCGGTGGTGCCCTAGGGTCGTGGACGTGATCTTCAATCCACCCGTTGCAACAGGAGCCCTCTACTACCACAGTAGAAGTACAAACTTGGCAAGCAGTGATAAATAATTGAACATTAGAGGCTTCAAACTTCAAGGAGGCAATCATAAACGAAATGAAAACACAAATGGACAAATGAAACTCACGTCGGGCTTTCCTTAAAAGATGTCTTCATGACAAGTGACTTATATGAATGTTCCCTATATATGTATCACCAGAAAAAGGTGTTACCAAGGAAGTTCTAAGGGCCAAAGCCTTCACGGCAGTCGCCATGTAAAAAAGTGTCGATAACTCTCAGAGGAAAAGAAAAGGAGAAATTTTGCGAGCAGGCATCTTGGGAGTTTTGGACGAGCCCGTATGACCCCTTCCCCTTGTTTTTACTGTTTGTTTTTTGTTCGCCGTACTATTTGCGCTTATAAGGCATTTTTCAGGTTCATTCATCCTCAACCTCTACAGCCATTGAAATGTTGCAGTCGAAGCCGT